AAATAGAACTACCATATGACCCAGCAATCCCACTACTCGGCACATACCCTGAGAAAACCATAATACAAAAGGAGTCATGTACCACAAAGCTCATTGCAGCTCCATTTACAATAGCCAGGACATGGAAGCAACCTAGGTGTCCATCAACAGATGAATGGATAAAGAAGATTTGGCACATATATACAATGGAATATTACTCAGCCATAAAAGAAATGAAATTGAATTATTTGTAGTGAGGTGGATGGACCTAGAGTCTGTCATACAAAGTGAAGTAAGTCAGAAAGAGAAACACAAGTACTGTATGCTAACACATATATATGGAATCTAAAAAAAAAAAGTGGTTCTGATGAACCTAGGGGCAGGACAGGAATAAATACGCAGATGTAGAGGATGGACTTGAGGACATGGGGAGGGGGAGGGGGAAGCTGGAACAAAGTGAGAGAGTGGCGTGGACATATATACACTACCAAATGTAAAACAGATAGCTAGTGGGAAGCAGCCACATAGCACAGGGATATAGGCTCAGTGTTTTGTGACCACCTAGAGGGCTGGGATAGGGAGGGTGGGAGGGAGACGCAGGAGGGAGGGGATATGGAGATATATATATACATTGAGCTGATTCATTTTATTATACAGCAAAAACTAACACAACATTGTAAAGCAATTATACTCCAATAAAGATGTTAAAAATAAATAAATAAATATTGGCAACTAAATCCATATGTTTTAAAAAACCCTTAGGGTCAAATCAAATCAAGGATACATTTGCAATTTCTTATCCACCCCTTAGTTTTCTGATGTGTAAGAGAAGAATGATAATATCTGTTCTGCCTCTGTAACAGGGTTATTTTGAGTGTCAGATTTGTCTAAATTTGTGTTTGTTTTATTTTAATTTTGAAATGATAAGAGAAAACAAGGTCGAGGAAAGAAGTTGAACAACCCTGGCAAAGCAGGCTGGAGATTCGTAAGGTGACAAGATACCAAGAGGCCAACAGTGCAAGCACCGTGTCTCAACTTTCCTCAGCCTCCATAAAAAGCCGACTTCTCCATAGGCAGATCAGACTAGCCTGCAACCATCTTCAGGAATCATGTGATCCTGAAATAGGAGAAGTAATTGACAAAAAGTAACAGTTCCTTGTCATGAAACAAGTCTGAGCTAGCTTAATAGATCCAGTTTGACTTTCCTCGTTTGCAACATTATAATTCATCTTTCTCCTTGACTAATGACAATACGAAAAAATAGCCCACGGACATAATGTACCTACAAATGGGATAAGGTTTCCATGTTTGAAGGTATAAACTCAAAATTCTCAAAAGACAGGTAGATTTCTCTGACACCTTTCCACGAAATATCTCACAGGTAGGATTTGTTGGTGATCCTGCACACGTGCCTCAGTAAGAATATAAAGAAAATTGGGGAAATGCCAGAAAGGGAAAAGCGTAAGGTGACGTCCTGTGTTTTTTACTGTTTCATTTTCAGATTTCACATTTTTCCTTCCATTATGCGGATGCACCACTAGAGGGCACCATACAGTTCTGCTTCCACACACCCTGTGGTGTAATGCTGGGTCTGACCTCCAGTTACTTCACTGAAAGCCCCACAGCTTTTGTCTATCTTTAATCAGATCACATAGGGTCAACGTGTCTGCCTGAAGGAAGCTACAGACCCATCCTTGATCCAAGGTCATTTCTCACTCCTCATGTCATTAGGAGCTATCTAATCCTTTCAAGTGACCAAGAGCAAAGCATCCATTCCTGTCCTGTGGCCTCAGGTTCATGTAGGGGGCTACATATGTCATCCAGTTGCCAGTACTGAGGACCATTTCCTGACTGCCCCTCAGCCTCTGTAGGGTGTTCTGTCAGATGCTGGAACTAGAACAAAGATCACAGGACCTACAGATACAAGAAAAGGGGTCGTGCAGGATAACAAATGAACCAGTGTGTGTAAGTACTGCAGGAGCTTCAAGACTGATGAATGAAGTGATTTTCCAGGAAAGCACGAGGTCTCATGAAGAAAAGGAGGCCAATCAGTCTGGGCTGAAGAAGGTAAGAAATTGGATTTTAGGCTGAGTTTCCTTTTCTCCTTCCTGTCTTATTAGGGACCTCCACACAGGGGGAAACCTGAAGCTAAGGTATGATATAGGGAATATCTATCTATCTATCATCTATCTATCTTTTTATATATATGTATACATATGTATATATTTATGTGTACATATAGAGAGCAGCTTCTGCTCCCCAGGACTGCCTGAGAGAAGTTACTTTCTTCTGCACTGCAATATTCATTTGTCATTTATTGATTTGACAAGTATTTACTATCAACTGTGCCCCAAACGCTCAGTGGTAAATAAGATAGCCACAGGCAGGGCATGCCTGCTTAGAACATATAGTCCACTGGGGACACAAAAATGACTGCAACACAATATGGTAAGTCCTATAAAAAGGGAGGAAGAGGGTACAGTATGAGTACGGAGCAGGGACCCCTGACGCAGATGTTGGAAGTCAGGGAAGACTTCCTGGAAGAAGAACTATTAAATCGAGATACTAAGCAAAATAGAAGTAGGTCATGTGAGAAGCGCATAAGCACGTTTCAGGCAGAAGTAACACAGCACAGAGGAAAAAAGAATCAAACATGATTTTATTTCTGCATATACAGATTCCGAGCTTGCTGTTTTCCACTTACCTATTTTATCCCAAGTCTCCATATCAAATATTTTTGAAAACATGATTTTAACAGCTGCCTAATAGTCCCTTGTGAGGATAGTAACTAATTTTTTTTACCGATTTTCAAAGAGACATAGCATTTTCAAGGCTCATGCTAATTGCTTTCCCCTTAAAAATATAAAGTCATGTGAAATAATCTTTATTGCTCATATTAATATCCAAAAAAACTCCTTTACTTGGCTCTCTGTTGAGAACAATTTCTGCAACCCAGCCTGATATTCCCCCCACAGCAAATACTGAATTTAAGCCAGTCATTGGTTTGCTAAATATTGGTTACTATGAATTATGTGTAAATTTTGCTGTAATTGTCTTGCATTCATCGGTGGGGCCTTCAGAGGGGCTCCAGAACCAGAATTCCAGGGCTTTCAGATTTTGCACTGTCCCTCTGAGTGCCACTCTGTGCCCCTCAGCCTCCTCCATGTCTGCATCTCAGCTCCCCATCTATCCCTCAATCTCAGGGAGATTGGGATGTTAACAGATATTTATCTCCACCTTTTCCCCAGTAAATATTTTTCTCGGTGGCTCAGTTTCCTGAAGCTGCAAATATCAGTTTCATGAATATTGTTTTAAAACCATCTTTGGGTAAAAATAGAATCTATTTAACAAGTTGCTGACTTAGCAAATTGATTTTCTGGGCCAAGCAGGAAAGATTTGCACAGACTCTTAGAGGAAGTGAGGTGTTTGAGGTAGAGTACCCAAACACCTTCTGAGCTGTTTCAGATCTAATTCCGCCTCCCTTTAAAACTGACCTTCCTCGGATGGCCATACTTCACATTTATTGTCTCGTCATCCATTCATGCTTCCTTAGTGAGGTGTGTTTGGAGGGAAACTCACCTCGCTGGTTCTGTGTGGGCCCTAGCTGTTCCATTCAAACTCTATTTTGAATTAAAGATTTCTTGCATCGCAGGTATTCTTACATTGCTGTATGACTTGCATGGGTTGGAGAGTTTTTTCAAACCTCAGAGCACTCCAGTGGTAATTCCAGTTCTCCAATACATTTATTTCGTGTAAGAAGTCATTTTCTCCCTGGCCCACAAGAAACTCCACATTAAAAATGAGAATTTTCCTAGCTCTATTATAGTGACCTCAGCCTGGCTCAGGCCCTAGTCTCAGGTCTTCACAGTCTAATTCTTGTTTGTCCAATTGGGTGGCTCCTGGCTGCTACTACCTTACCAAGCCCACTGAATTTATGCAAAGTAAATTTAACATGTAGCTGCCAGTTCCCTAAAGTGAAGATTTGACTGAACACTTTAATAATCCTGGTTAAGCAGATAACCACGTATCTTTATGGATAGACGGTTCACAACTTTGCATCATTTAAAAATGCCACCCGGCCTATCACCCAATGCCTGGAGAAGGTGGGCCTGAAAGATAACAGAGTGCAGGCTGAGGCCACAGACGTCACACCAGTCTTCCTTGGCGGATTTCTTGCACTGACCTTGGCAAGCGAGCTCATGATCTCAGGATGCACGGAAAAATGATCTTTGTGCTACTATTGTCAGGTAAGTGGAATTTTTTTTTCGCAGGGTGCTGTTATATGGGATATAGGATTATACATGCAAAGATAAACTATCCCATTTTAGTCCTATCTGACTTAAACGAATACCTAAATGAGTAGTATCTCAGATCCCAGTCTGGAGGATGGATTCTTATTGGGACTCCGTGAAAGAAATGGCTCCAGGGGGCCCAGTAATTGTGACTGGATCACAGCACAGTTCCAGGATGTGAAGCATGCTTCAATCCTATGCCTAGCCAGAATTAAAAGAATTTTACCAAATACACTGAGAAACATCTCTGTGTGAAGGAATGTGTTGCTTTACCGGCGTTTTCACAAGTTTAACTTCTAAGTTAGAAAGTCATTTGTGAAGGTGATAGTGGATATACAGTCTTCAGTTTTCAAAAAAGTCTTCCAAAAAATTATGATTTCGTCCTTCTCCTGCCAAAAATGTACAAGCCGCAAGCATGAACCCTGAATCCATGGGGGAGTTATTTCTCACATTGTGGTCCATTACTGAGATGTAAGGTGGAAAAAACAAAAAAAGAAAGAACTCTTATTGGCTAAGGGGTTATGTGGTTTGGGGAGAAATCGAAATCCATTCATTAAAAAAAGAAATAACATAGGCATATTATGAAGTGGTATCAAATTATCATTACTTTTGGCCTCTTCCCGAGAGTGTTAATGGTTAACGTCTTCTCAAATGGAGTGTTTATGTGTCAGAAATACTGGTGCCCGGCACATAGATAAGGAGCAGGCAATGACTTGAAATGTGTTTAGCCCCTCAAACGTGGTTGTAACTCGAGTTACAGCAAGCATCAAGGATCTACCGGGCGCTCTAGGAGTTGGGGAAGGGATCCAGCATTTTCTAAGATACATCAGGGGATAGAGTAGTGTCATGGTTAAAGCACGGGCATGAAAGACAGAACTAAGGTTCAAACCTGGCTTCACATCTGAAAGCTGGGGAAATTAAGCAAATTACTTACCCTCTCTTGGTCTCAGCATCCATGTCCGTAAAATGCAGACAATGTTGGTACCTGCCTCCTAGTAAGCGCCTAAGGACTAAACAAACTAATTACTGTAATGTCCTTACTCCAGTGCCTGGCACACAGTAAAGTAGTAAATAAGTATTTAGCTTCGATGATAGTCATAAACTAGGAAACAAACCTGGGTATGGGATGGGGATTTCTGAGAAGTGATGGAGAATGGGAAAATTCCAGGAAAACAGAAGATTAACAAAGTTGCTCTAATTTTTTTAAGTGGCAAGGAATGAAAACATTTAGCTTGAAGAAAAGAAAACACGTGGAAGGAATGTGGCAGAATATTTAAATATATTCAGACATTTGTAGAGCTCTTACACAGAAGAGACAAGAGGTATTCATTGCGTGGTTCCAGAGGGCAAAGTGGGGTTACTCAATCGAATTAGACACATTACCCATTTGGGGGAGGGGCGGGGCAGAATATGTGGAAAGGATTCCTGGAAAAGAAAGAAATTCATTTTACCAGTGCTCAAGCCGGTAGTGCAGTAAGGCCTTAAATGAGGCTTCAGGAGGTCAGCAAGTTCAAGTGACTCCAAAGGCTGCCTTGGTCTCCAGGGCCAAGGCTGTCATCATCTTTGCATCTTCTGGAATCCTCCAAAGCAGGGATCCCCAACCAGACTGTTAGGAACCGAACCGCACAGCAGGAGGTGAGTGGCGGGTGAGGGAGCGAAGCTTCATCTGTATTTATAGCCGCTCCCCATGGCTCGCATTACCGCCTGAACCATCCCCCCCAACCCCCATCCCCTGGTACATGGAAAAATGGTCTTCCATGAAACCGGTCCCTGGTGCCAAAAAGGTTGGGGACTGCTACTCCAAAGAAACTCTCTTGATGTGATGACTTTATAGAATAATAGAAAGACACTGGAAAAAATTTCCCCCTCTTATTCATTAGTTGAAGAGGAGAATGTGAAAAGTGTGAGGAAATGGGGAAAAAAAACTTATTTGCTTCTCCAGTAATCTTAAGGGTAAAGTCAAAACTTCTAATTCTAAGAGTATCAGATGTCATCCTCCCAATAGAGAGTAAGTTTTTTTGAAATTATTTTATTCCCAATCCCTGAATTCATTCACTCATCTGTTCATTCAGTAATTATGTGTCAGATGACAAACACCGAGGCCACAGCAGGGAGATAAATGAGCTCCCAGAGTTGGAGTTCAGGGCGGGTGGGGGCAGATGGGGAGGGGGATACAGACATTCAGCAGAACAAGTAAATTATTAAAAGAAGAAAAGACAGTGAAAAATAGCACACAGAGAATTAAACGAGGGAAGGTGATGAACACAGTGCAGAAGGCTGATGTAGAGAAGAAGAGCAGGAAATATTTCTCTGAGTTCGTGACATTTCTGATGAGAACTGAACAATGAGAAGAGGCCAACCTTGCAAAATCTGGGGAAGGGCACCGGAGGTGGAGGGGACACGAAGGGTGAAAGTTCTAAGGCAGGAGAAGACATAGTGTGTTCAAGGAAAAGCCAAAGCTTTGATTTGAAAATCGGGTCCTGATGCTAAGAAGCCTTTGGAGAGAGCTCTGTGTCCCTGGACCATGATTAGCCATGTGCACCTTACCACACACGCCTGCAGACACACCATTAGAATGACTAAGCAAAGAAACAAGCCTTCTCCTTTTTCTTCAGTGATCCAAGAGGAGACCCTTTCTCTCCACTTAATTGTTATGGGAATGAGTTCTGAACTGGGTTTCAGGGACAACAGCACTCTAAATTTCTTAAAAGTCAAACCTGTGCTTCCTTTATGCATCCTCCACACTGCTAGGCACATACATAGTAGGCACTCAATTAATAATAGTTGCAGAAATGACAAGTGACCAGAATTTTGCTGCAGGTTAGTTTAACTGTGGAGAATCAATTGACCCCCATGGGCCTCAGTTTTCTCCTGCCTCTTAAATAAAACACAGACTAGATGGCATCTAAAATCCCTTTCATCTCTAAACTTCAGTGATACCTCAAAGGTCAGCCTGAGATGATCTGTTAGGCTAGCTACCAAATCTATAAATCTCTAGTTTGATGCGAAATTTTTAGAAAGAAATGAACACTCTCACTATGAACTCCTGGAGAAGGATTTCTAAGAGGGGGAAGAAGAGACAGTATCTCAAAATTGACTTACACTGATTTTAAGTTGGGAAGTTGAATTTAACATTCTTGTGATGAATTTCTTTTTACTTTGGTCTCTAGAGGATGACCGAAAACATCTATGAACCTATTGGGGAAGCACATTTTAAATAATTTTCTCAAATGTCTTTATAGGTTATATTTTTACTAAAGCTGTCGCCACAGCTACTCCAAAAATGGGTGTTACAACTACAACATCAGGTAAGTTACCAACAAAAGCAGGCGGGCAATAGATTTCCAGCCATTATTATCATATCTATATATTTAATAAGTACCTTTCTGTGTAGTTTTCTGTGATAAATGAACTAAATTAAAACTAAAGCAACAATACTGAAAAGAAATATTCCAGGGTTATCTCTGGGTGTTGGGATTGGAGGTCATTTTTTTCTGCTTTTTCATACTTTCTAAATTCTCTGTGAAAAGAATCATCAAATATAATTAGGAAAAGTTTTTAAAAACTTTTTAAATTAAACTGAACACACACAATCTTTGCTTTCTAAGATGTCTCTATCATTAAGCAATGCTGACAAACATTAACAGAGGAAAACCTAGACACCAACATATTCATTTCATTGTGCTTATTACTACTGAAATAAACTTGGTTGTGATGTATACTGAAATTGATTTCACGGATCTGACAGACAAAAGAGCAAGAATTGACAGTAAACGTATGAGATAACCCATGGTTACTATTTTCCCATTTTCTGTTTTTTTTTAAAATTGAAATATAGTTGATTTACAGTATTATATTAGTTTCAAGTGTGCAACATAGTGATTCAATATTTTTATAGATTATACTCCATTTAAATCTATTATAAAATATTGACTATATTCCCTGTGCTGTACAATATATTCTTGTAGCTTATTTATTTTATACATAGTAGTTTGTACCTCTTAATCCCCTACCTCTATTTTGCCCCTACCCCATTCCCTCTCCCCACTGGTAACCACTAGTTTGTTCTCTATATCTGTGACTCTATTTCTGTTTTGTTATAGTCATTCGTTTTATTTTTTAGATTCCACATTATAAGTGATAACATATAATATTTGTCCTTCTCTGATTTATTTCACAAGTATAATACCTTTTAGGTCCATCCATGTTGTTGCAAATGGCAGAGTTTCATTCTTTTTTATGACTGAGTAATATTCCTGTGTGTGTGTGTGTGTGTGTGTGTGTGTGTGTGTGTGTACTGCATCTTCTTTACCCATTCATCTCTTGATGGACACTTAGGTTGCCTCCATATCTTGGCTATTGTAAATAGTGCTGCTATGAACATTGGAGTTCATATATGTTTGGAAATCAGTGTTTTCATTTTCTTTCTATATATACCCAGCAGTGGAATTGCCGGATCATACGGTGGTTCTATTTTTAGTTTTTGGAGGAATCTCTGTACTATTTTCCATAATGGCTGCACCAATTTACATTCCCACCAGCAGTGTACAAGGGTTCCTTTTTGTCCACATCCTTGCCAACATTTTGTTATTTGTAGATTTTTTGATGATAGCCATTCTGACAGGTATGAGGTGATATTTCATTGTGGTTTTGATTTGCATTTCTCTGATGTTTAGCAATGTTGAGCATCTTTTCAAGTGCCTGTTGTCCATATATATGTCTTCTTTGGAAAAGGTCCATTTTCTGTTTTTTACAGGGCTTGTTTCTGTTATGATACAATAACTCATCTCCAAGCCCCCAGCTGCCACACTTTATTAGCTAAGAGTATCTGGAAAGTGGCAGCATATAGAACCTTAGGATGCTTTATTCACTGAGACTCCTACCACATCTTGGGAGTCAGGCAGTGTTCTGACCCATGTCTGTTTCAGTAAAGTGAATGACTCCAAAAACACTGCAAGCCCCAAGTCACAAAACATTGTACATTCTTCCTTCAGTCCCCAAGCACCATACCAACCCCCAGTATAAAATGCAGGAGGAGAGTTCGGGCCTCAGCTTGTCTACAGCCTTATCTCCCTTGATATTTTAGATCTTTCCCCTTTTAATGGTCTGGGCACCCTTGCTGAAAATCAATTATCACAGATATATGAGTTTATTTCTAGACTGTCGATTCTATTCCATTGATCCTTAGAGCAGCGCCACACTGTTTTGATTACTGTTGCTTTGTAGTAAGTTTTGAAATTGTGAAATGTAAGTCATCCATCTTTGTACTTTTTCAAGATGATTTTGGCTATTTGGGGTCCCTAGCAATTCCATATGAATTTTAAGATCAGTTTTTCTGTTTTTGTAAACATTTATATAAATATATATGTATATATTTAACTCATTTATCTTAGTCAATAACTCCATATGATAGACAATTATTATCCCCATTTCATAAATTATGAAACAAAGGTACAGAGTGATTAAATCAGCTGCCCAAGGTCTCAGCCAGTAGTTAGTGAAATTAGTTTGAACCCAGGCACCCAGGCTCTAGAGTCTGTGCATTTAATCCATATATGATACTGCCTTATTTGTCATACACATTGATGTTCCAAGCTTGGCCCTTCCTTACTCTTGCGGCATTGTCACTCAATGTTCTGCTCGTGCTTTCACTAAAATGAAGCCTATAGTGAAGGCTGGTAGTCTGTCTTCTCCTTTTGGTGCAGCTAATGAACCCTAATTTTATGACTATGATGTTAACCTTCTGCTCCTTTTTATCTGGACTAGATAACTTTTTAGCTAGGGCTCTCCCTTTGATATCGCCACTTATTTCTCTGTCATGATGATATTTAAAAATTGAAAGGAAAGGAAATAAACCCAAAGCACAAAATGTGAACATAGTGCATCTGTTGAAGGCAACTGGGAAGATGGATCGCAGCAATGACATTGCGTCTTACCAGGAGAAACACGGAACAAATTTGCCTTTTGGTACCCTCCCTGTTCTGTCAGATACAGATCTCAAAATATCTTGTCAAGCAATTCAGCAATGTACCATTTTAATGGTACAGCACACACAGAAACTCTAACTGCTTTTATAGACCTTATATAAGCCGGATAAGGCTGTTGGAGTATGAAGCTAACTGGCCAATAGCTTGTGGGTGCCTTAAGTGGATTTCAATTGTGACAAGGGCTATTGACTCCCTTAGCCCCTCTGGAGGCCAGGTATTCAGATAGGGTATAGCCAGGTGTATCTATCAACAAGACATATTCAAGGACGATTAACACATAGTGAATGTACATTGCAACTCATTGTACACAGAGACAAACACATAAACATATATATGTATGAAACAAACTTTCACAAAATCCTAACTATCCTTACAGTGCGTGATGTACTTTCACGCACTCTCTTCTATTTTATACAATTTAATTTTTTTAATGCCAGTGACAACTGAGTAAACTGATTTCATGGCCCCTTATAGCAGGAATTCACTATCTTGACTACATGTTGGAATCATTTGAGGGACTCTAAAAAGTACTGATGACTGAGTTCCACATCCAGAGATTCCAAACACACTAATGCCGGGGCCAACAAACTATAGCCCATGAGCCAAATCCAACCCACCACCTGCTTTTGTATAGCCTGAAAATTAAGAATGATTTTTACATTCTTAAGTGCTTAAAAAAACCAAAAGAATATTTTGTGACATGTGGATATTATATGAAATTTAACTCTGAGTGTCCATAAATAATTACTGGAACACAGCTGTACTCACTCATTTATACATTGGCTAATATATTGTCAGTGGCTGCTTTTGCCCTGTAACAACAGAATTATAGAGCTGTAACAGAGACTGACCTGCAAAGCCTAAAATCTTTTTTCTTTACCCCTTTACAGAAAAAAAGTTTACCAACTCTTACACTAAGGGATCCCAACCTAAAATTTAAAAACTCAGTTTTAGACTGAGGATTCTCCAGCTGAGTGCCTGTGGAGTTCCTTGGGGAAGCTCCCAGGTGGCTGTGGACATGGGGTATGAGGCTCCAGGCCTGGAACCCAGGTTTCCACCAGAGCCATTCCACTTTGTCTGTTTCACACACTGAGGAACTTACCCTTGGGAAGTGCATTACAGTGAAATCAAATGTCGGGGAGATGGGGTTTCCTAAGACAAAACCCCAAGAAATACCATCATTTAATATGGAAAAGTGTGAATGGTATTCTTTCTCAAGCAAATCAGGCTAATATCCAGTCATTTTATGAATCTGTGCAACACCAGGTAAGGGTGACATAAGAACCTTTGAAAATGTAAGAAAAGATCTTAAAGATTAAGAAAATGAAGTTTCTACATGTTTATCTAGACTGGGACAATGGTTCTTGCTGCAGGCAACATTAGACTCCAATGTCTGGGTACCACAGATGATTCTAACGTGCAGTCAACAGGGAGTATGCTGATCTGATCTCTACTGTTCCTATTCATGGTTGTCCAGCCAGTGACAGGAAGTCTTGGTGGTGTGAGAACTTTGGGGTAAAGTTTTCATTTTTAATTAGAATTTTTCTCATCCAGTCTAACTTCCTTTAACCCCTAACCTAATACGTATAGGGAGTTTAGCTACAGAAATGCCAATATCTTAAAATAAAGCTGACACCTCTAAAGTATGTGAAATCTCCTTTAGTTCTGAGGATTTATGATAAGCAAAGAGTAACTGGACTGGAAGATGCTTCACTGGAAAAAGTGAGATTTTGGTTAACACATTGTTACCAACCAGAAACATCTGGCCTTCCGTAACCTGGATCTGACACTACAGGTCACTCTGTCACTGTATGTTAGAGGAATAACCCTCCTACCCTCAGCTTCTGCACAGGTGAATTCTTATTTTTGCATCTTTTCAGTTAGCCCTGATTTGCTGCAAGGGAAGGCTTACTTGAGAGTTAGTTGCCTAACTTGGTGAGAATTTCATCTTCTCTTAATGAAACTTACTTGGTGTCCTCATTCTTTTTATTTTGCATAGATTATGGTAGACCTTGGCAGACAGTTCTGCAGTCAAGTAGATGGGAATTCAAACTCCAGCTCCACCATTTATCAGCTGCGTGATCTTAGGCAAATTAGGCGATGTTTCTGATCTTTGTTTTTCTCCTCTACACATGATGATTAATATATAATAATGTGCTCTCAGGTAATTGTTTTGAAGAGAGAATGCCTATTATGTAGTAAATATACGTGTTGATTATGAATATTACCATCTCAGACATATGAATGTCTATGATTTTGGAATAATGAAGTACCTTAGAGGACATCTGTCCCTTCACTCTCATATTAGAAACGAGACACTG